ATATATATATATATGTTCTATATAAAAAGGATTTGAAAATGTTACATAGTTTGTACAGCAATAGAATTAAAAACGTATTTTTTCGATGTTATCTTTTGCGAAATTGTATAGCATGAAAAATGCGTGTGATCCTTTGAATAATAAAATAAAAAGCTACATACAGTACAAAAAACAGGTTCTATACGAATACTATGAAATGCATATTTGTTTTCCTGCTTTTCAACTGGAACAGAAATATCTGGATGTGACTAAAGTTAACTATTTCACCGTGCGTCTCTATTGTGTATACATACACAGGCAACATAAAAACCCCCTCGTTTCAGTAAAAATATCGTATGGAACAAATCGTAGAATTCAAATTACAGTTTTTCTTGATAACTGGGATATTTCGCTTGTCTCTGTATCGCAATAATTTTTGCCTACAATAGTATTAACAATCTTTTTGTTCTCTTGTTGCAGCTTCTGGTGGGCAATAACAATCCATATTCGGAAGAGGAACAGATCTTCGATCCAGCTATTGTCGCGACAAAGATCCGTTTTATCCCTTATACCTCTCATATGCGTATAGTATGTATGCGCGTAGAGCTTTATGGCTGTCCATGGACAGGTGAGTGAAATATATGGACATATTCCTTTTCACTACGTTTCTCATCTATTTATTTTGCAAGCAACTTGCTGCTCATTTCGCTTACAACGAAAATATAGTTGGATCGTTATATTTCAGCAATTTTAAATGCTTGCGATAAATGGAAAAAAATATTCCAGTCCGATCTGAAAAAATTTTTATCGCTAACTGCACGCAAAACGGTGATGCAATATATAAAATTATTCGAGATGTAAAAAGATATAATTGGATTTTTTTTTAATCAAATTAGAGAGCCGTTATATATTTTAACGTGATAATAGTTACGATGATGAATCAATTTCACGCTATATATAAGCGAAGGCAATTATATACGATTCCATTAACACCTGCACTATCACTTGTAAAGATAAAACTGGAAACAAGCGGTAGAAATCCCTTTGGAATCGCTTGCGTGTTATCATGCATTTTATATTTTACATCGGCTACGGACTGCGTCCATTTTCTCGGAACTTCTTGACGAGAGATTGCAGCCACTTTAATCTCGACTGTAACTCAGATTTGTGGAATCAGAAAGGGCATACGAAAAAAGAATACGGTAGAAATTTTTTATTCAGTGCCAGACAAATATAAATTTAGTCATAAACCTTATTCTTCCTTATTCTTATCATGAAACTGCTCATAAAATCTCCACGTTTATCCACAATAAAGAATAAGAAATAATGTGTAATAGTACTAAATAATAATATTACAATAAATTAATAATATTAATAATATTAAATAATAATATATAAAGATGTGTGTGACGACACATTGAAGCACGTGTAATCGATTCGTATTCCGTTTGCCGAGAGATTTCGGACTTGAATTTTCGTGAATCGTCAACCTTCGCTGACTATCTGACGAGACGCCGATGTAACGCGTCAGTTTCTCCCGAATCTGAGATTAAGTTAGATTTACGATCACCGTGGGCCGTGAGCCACAGCTGCGTCTACATTAATCCAACCTCGACGAACTATGCGGCAGCCGCTAACTGTGCCATCTGCATAGCTCCGACCATCGTTATATCGTTTAAACGCACAATTACAGTGGCTGCCAATAATATTGACTTGCAAAATAAATTGTGACTTACGAATAGCATTAGCGAACGTTCGGGCCATTACCGAGGCAAGGACCGTAGATCATGCAAGTGGTAGACGGAAGATATATTGAAGACATGGAATTACACGTTGTGCAATTATCGTAATGAGATACTTCCCACATTTGACAAGGTTATTATTATTATTATTATTATTATTATTATTATTATTATTATTATCATCATCGACGCTAATGAAACTACAATAGGCAGTTGCAATAAATACGCTCGACGCTTTGTTACTGTCCAGTGTCATCGATGAAAAAGCTACGCAAATTGAATTGATTTTTTTTGTTCTATCGACGCGTTCATCAAAACGGTCTTTTACAACTGTTTCGTGTAAACATTGCGAAATGTGTGAGGGAAGCATATCTCTGCGCATATATTTTATACTGAAATTTGTGAAAACAATTTACTGAACGGAAAAATATCCGATTGGTATGAGCGAGCAGCGAGAGACATTTCCCTCCCAAGTACAAAACCGTGTAACTCATTCGTGCTTATTGACGTCTGACAGTCTAGGAGCACATTTTGCTCTGACATAAGTCGCTCGCTCCGGCGCATTTTTAACGAAAATTGCGCGACACGTTGACGCAACGAAAGAGAGATCGACGTCGGCGACGTTCGCATCAAAGCACAAGTCTTCTAGTCTAGTTATCGCGTGACACCGTCTCAGATCGATCCCGGTAATCCTCGGGGCACCGAGATTAAAAATGTTGACCCTCGTTACTTCTTCCCGACGACGTGCGCTTTACCCGTAACCATATCCGCAATCTTATCACGTACTGTCGGGAGAAAACGTTCATGGCTAGACCACGTAGCAACGTGATGATGCATAGTTCAGGAGCTTATATATTCTTTATATCTGACTTCTTCTTGTTCTTCCAGAGGGTCTCGTCTCGTATTCCATGCCCCAAGGAATCAAGAGAGGCTCCGAGGTTGACCTTTCCGACAGGACGTACGATGGCCGCGAAGAAGCCGGTTACCTCTCCGGGGGACTTGGTCAACTTGTCGACGGGCAAAAGGGTCCCGACAACTTCAGATTGGACGTCAGCGGCAACGGAAAGGGTAAGGCACGGACTGCTTCGTGCAGGGAACGAGATTAGCGCCAGCGCTAGATCGTGTCTAGATTAGCGTGATAGAGCCGTCTCCGCGAGCCACCCCCGTCCGCCCCACCGTCCAGTCTTCTTATTCTATCGGTATCTCACGCTATCTTACTCGTTAACTTCTTTCTCCGAGCTAAATAGCGAGCCCGAGATCCTGTAACCCCGTGTTGTAATCTTGTAACGCGGACTGCACGTCTCTCGGAGCGATTACGCCTCTTGTTTCAAACCGTCTTACACTCCTATTAATGTAATCGACCGAGTAAGAAGAGCGTGAATGAAATAAGAGCGCGCGCAACGTATCTTGAATAACGTTAAAACACTACATCAGTATCCCTGTACATAGCCGTTATGTATGAAATGCATTCCCCGTAGCGTAGCGCATATAATTTGAAATATGTGAATGTGTGACGAGAATTCTATGAAAATATCTCGGATAACTTCCGCTTTAGAACGGACATATTTGCTTCGTTATTTCATGAATTTTCAATTTACACGTGTTTTATTCGCTTGATTTCGCGCATCAAAAACACATGTTACTTTGCCGATATGTTTTCTCTCTTTTTTTTTGTTTTTTTTTTGTTTTTAACGGATGCTCACTTCCTAATCGATTTGCTGGATACGTTTGATCAGTCTGAAAAGTTTTTTCCATTTAATGAAGCGATGATTAATGCGCGTGACACCGGCTGGAAATAATGCGTCGTCGCGGTGTCAATGATAACTGTCCTACGGATTTTATTCAGGAAACCAAATGACCGTCAAAATTTAATTGAAAAGGATGTGCTCGTGTAGGGAAATGGTTTTTCGAACGATTGATCAGGTGCAATATTCGTCGTCGTCGAGACGTGAGATGCGTCCGTTTTCCGAGGCGCGTATGCCAAAATGAAAATGAAATTTTTCTGTCGGTCTAACCCCAGGTGTGTAGGTGTGTAAACGGGAAAGTCGAAAGGGTCAGCGGAATCCAGAAAAGCCGAGAGGGCCGGCGAAAGAGCTCGGGCTCCGGAGCCAAACGTGTTCCACGGCGCCGCTCGAATCTGTTCCAATTTACATTTATATTGAACCGCGAGCTAGGCTGCAACCAGTCGCCGCTGTTTACTCGCCTTCTGGATACATTTGTGTCTTTCCATTTACGCCACAGGATACCCCTCACCGCCGTTGGTACACTCGGATACACCATCGTACTTCCGCCTTCTTAAACTTTTAAACCCGGCAAAACTGCGTACAACTTCTCTCGACTCTCTTTAAACCGGGAAACATCGTCGTCCGATATTCCTCCAGTCGAGACGAATTTCCCAGTCAAGATCGATATTTGCACCGGCACCTCCATACGAAAGCTTTTAAAAATACTTCAGAATTGCGTAAAGAAATCGAGTACTAAAAAATAAAAAAAGAATTACAGAAATACATATAAAAATATATTTATTGTATATATATTAATAGTATTTTTAATATATTTATGAATTTTCGTAGAAAGAAATGATCAACAACGATTTACGATTTAAAAAATTATTTCCAAAGATTCTTGAAATAGACCTTTTCAATGCTACGGAAAATTTACATATTATATAATTATCTATATCAATTAAAATAGTACAATGATCTTGTAACAAACTACTGTCTTGTTTAATAAAGTATCGATGAAACGTATGGCAGTTGACAGCTCGTGGTCATCCTTATATTTGGTTTACGAGCATTGTATGCTCGTAACTGTACAGTTTCCGAAACGCTTTAAAGGAGAAAATCATCAACTGGCGGAGGTGTTGGTACAATATATCCACCCAGCGTGGTTATCTTACGATCCTCGTGAAGGTTCAGAATTGATGGTAGATAGCGGCCGAAGGCGGCGACGACAGGAAACTGGAAACTATTTACTCGAGGGACGATATTAAGGGAGGAAGGGGGCTATATGAAAGCGGATAGGTCAGGGCGATATAACGCCACCGCGCGAACCCCGGTATATTGTTGAAAACGGAAGGGACGATCGTAGTAGTTGTCGCACAGGAATCCAAACACAAAGTCGCGGGCGTACAATGCAAACTGCGTGATTGAAATTCTCCTAAGTTTTAATATACTCTAAGATTCTTATATCGCTACAACGAACACGCTATTCTCTTCCAGAGAGAGCGATAAATCGAAACGCGGAAGCAGCGATGCTGAACTTGAGACTGGAGGACCCCGTCGTTTTTTTTTCTTCCTTATCTCAACCATCTCTTTTTCGGGGATTTTTTTCAAGAAGTAGACATAAAAGATAAAGGAAAAATTTATAGTGTAAAGAACGGATCTTTCTAAGGCGGTAACAGTAGGATTTACGTATCAACATTTTGTGATATGTAAAAAGGTGTCAAGGAAACAGAAAAAAAAATATAAATGAAAAATGTTGAAGGATTATGAATACATCGTGATATTGTTATTTCTCTTACATTTGTATTTAAGCAAAAACATTTAGACTTATTGAAAAACTATCAATAAAAATAGCCAAGAAGTGTTAACGAAAT